ACCACCTGTTAACAAGTGCTAATACAGGCAGTGGATAGGTAACAGGGAGTTTGGGGTCAGTCTAAGCACCAAGGAACCACACTCCCTCAGCAATTTCTCCGTGAGCTGTGTAGGGACACTAGTGATAGTCGTTTGCCAAGTGGGGCCGTCTCTCAATATCCTTTTCCAAACTTTCACCACAACTAACACACACACCGTCCCTCTAAGCTTCTCATCTATCCTCTCCAGTTGCTACTGTCACTCTGGGCACATAGTTAATTGGATAAATGGGTACTTCTCATGTCTGGGCTTGGAAATAGCTCGTACAGTATTTTCAAGTTATTATCCGATATGTCTGTTAAAAGCCCACTTTTTCAGAAGGGGAGAGAGAGGATCAGCTCACAGTGGGGGACTTACTCCAGCTCGCCTCATGACATCCACAGGAATGACGGTTTCCATCTCCTCAGCTCCCTTGGCTAGGATGACCAGAGCTCTTTTTGAAGCCATTTTTCGGGTTGTGCTTTTGTTTAAAAGACTTACTAGGAAAACAGACGTCAAAAAAACAACTTTCACTGCACCCCTGGAATAGCCAAAAAGTTTAGGTTTAAGAACATTTTCAAAGAGTAAGTTACTTCCTAGGGTGAAGGGTCTGATGAGACAAACAACTAAAAACCGGTCAAATTGTAGGCCCAAGTGGGCTTATACAGTTCCTGGCTGATTTCCAAAGCTTAAGCACAAGTTGCTAATTCTCTCAGAAACAAATTCACTGCCATCGCCATCAAGTTGATGCCAACTCAAAGCGATCCTACTGGACAGAGTAGAACTGCCCCTGTGAGTTTCCAAGACTAACTCTTTGCGGGAGGAGAAAGCCCCGTTTTTCTCCCATTCTCTCAGAGGGGTCACAAAATACACCCCTGTTAAAGTCTAGCTTTTTTCTTCCCATCGTGTGTTTACCCGGTTTCTTAAATTCAAGTTGTAAAAGTAAAGTGAAACACAAGTACATGGATGGGTCTGTATTTCACACAATGACAGGGCAAAAAGTGATTTGTGTCTCAAGGGTATAAAATTAAATATTCAGGATTTGAGTAATTAGCCTGTTTTTTTGCAGGGGATTTTTTCTTCTTCTCGGTAACTGTACTAAAATTTTCGGCAGGATTTACTCAGTGTTGTGCGTTTTAACACTTTTTCTATGGTCGATGGGAATTCCCCCTCACAAATGTCCAATCCAGCAGCATTCTCTCTTTGCACACAGCTCTGAGTCATCTGTAACCTAGTCTTATTCTGACCATTTGTGGTCCAAGCAAATCAGATTTTCGATGAAACGGCTGCACCAGATACTATTAACTAGATCCAAGCCAGGGACGTGTTATTTATGCACGGCATTCGGGAAGCGCTCTTCTTTAGCACGCTCGGACGGCTGGCGATCAAAAATAAGGTTTGCTTAGACATAAGGGGCGTGTTTATCAAGCGCAACCAAACCCTGGCCAGAGCCGGAGTCTGCACGATGCAGGGACCTCACCCGAGGGCAGAGGCCTGCAGGTGGCAG